GTTATTGTACTCCACCTTGCAAAATATTTGACTGGGATTTTATCTCCGCTTTCACGGGCTTACTTATGTTTCCTATGCTCTTTCAATGATCAACATCTATGGTTCCTTTAGAAAACCAAGGATTAAATTCTAGTTATTTATATAAGCTGAGCTCCTCTGTATCTTAACAAACATATCAGTAATTATATAAAATGATTTGTCTCAAGAGGACTTGAGAAGAATCTACGCTTATTTCACTCACAGCTGTGAGCCTTTAGGTGAGAGAACCCATCTCCTACCCACTATTTCTATTTAAAGAAAAATAATTTTTACCTTCTCAGAGTGAAGCCCTTTATGATGGACACCGCATGTGTGTGTGTGTTCTCCACAGTAATAAAATTATGAGTCACACAGATGGCTGCCCAGAGTAAGGACCATGTTACCAGGTTCTATGCAGTAGATGCACGTAGAATTCCTTAGTGGCTTCAGAGGCCTTTAAGAGAAAGCTGATCACAGGAGAGGCTGTCTTGGATGAAGACCACGCCCACTGTATGAGTAGTAGAGGCAGGAGCAGTCTTGGTCTGGGAGAGAGGGCAGTCCTCAATCTAAACCTAGGCTTTTTACATTAAGGTAGAATAAAGTACTGTCAAACCAGTCTACTATTTAAGGTTGATCAAAATCTTCACCCAGAGGGGCCATCTAGAGAACTCAGTAGGTAAGCAAGTCTGTATATTGAACATCATAAGGAGAGGGCTATTGATGTAAAAATAACTTGATGTGTCTATGACAGCAAGCAGAAGCATCTTTAGGGAAAGGGACCATCACAAAAGGAAATGGAAAACTTAGTGGTGTCCGTATTCCCCCTTTTAAAACTCAGATTAATCCAACCATCCAAATTTGTCTTAACCATATTGAGGATCCATCATGCACTGTGCAGGGAGATGTGGGTTTAAACTCAACTCTGTGGATTCAACACAAATATTCTGAAAATATTGGGCATTCCCATCTTACTACAGTCAATGCACTATCTTCGACAATGGCTTATTGTCAAAGAAGTTGATTGTTAGCTGACCCAAGTTCTATAGCAGTCCTCTACAAAAGCTGAGCCTCTGCCTGCACTGCAAAGGGGACTGGAAACCTAGATGACCAACAACTGTTCTCTCTCCCTACCTCCCCCAACCCACTGCAGCTCACTTTTTGCTTACCCAGGGGTAGTTAAGAAGTGTGGGTCCCTGAAGAACTAGTTAATGTTTTCAAGTCCATTTCAAGAAAGCGTAAGAGGGGTTGGGAAGATGGTTCAATGGTTAAGAGTATGTACTGCTGCTCTTGCCAAGTTCAGTTCCCAGCGCTCATGAAAAGCAACTCACAACCACCTGTTAACTCCAGCTCCAGGGGGTCCGATGCCCTCTCTCCTGGCCTGCTCGGGTGCCCGACACAGGTATACATAAACAAAATTCTCTTTCTCAAAAGCAAAAAAGACATATCGTGTGCTGTTCTGTAACTGTCTTTTTCAAAGGGTTAAATTGAGCACAGACGGGAGAAAGATTTCTGAGAGCTAAGTTGTTGACGTCGGTCACAGGCAAACTTTGTAAGGACGGGGCTTAGTATGGAATCTAGGGCTTAGTGTGGGTGTGAGAGCGAAAGGGGGGACTACAGCAATGTGGTGGGAAGGGGAGAAAGGGTGGCGACAGGAAGGAGCAAGAGAGGGGGGTGAATAAGAACAACGCGTATAGAGTTTAAGTGTAGCGGTGTCACAGAGAGATCTGGCAAATGTAATGTTTTCCACGAAGGAGACAAATATGTTTCAATCCAGAAATTCCTTATCCACGGATTCTCAGAATCACTTTGGGTGAATTTTAGGAGCTAAGTAGATTCATTAAAGGGCGTGTGTGTGTGTGTGTGTGTGTGTGTGTGTGTGTGTGTGTGTGTGTGTGTGTGTGTGTCCACACACTGTCAGTTTTCTCCTTCCACCATGTGAGACCCGGAGATGGAACTCAGATCGCAAAGCCTGGCAGGATGTGTCTCTACCCACTGAACCATCCTGCTGACCACGGAATCAAGTAACTTTAAAGGAAAGTCCCAAGTAGCTTAAATGCACTGTGGTTACGAACAGGACTGCAGTATAGACGCCGAGCATTCACAATTCATTCATCACCAATGAAAACCGTGTGCCTGCCAAGGGCATGGTAAAATGCATCATGCAATTACTTCTCAGGGTGACTACCTCTTGCTGCCTCACCCTTGGGAGCTGCTCTGGCCATGCGTGTTTCGCAAGGGCCCAAGTGTCCAGTAAGAACTGTTAGAGGTAGGGCCTATAACACAATGGGGCAACCAAGTTCACAATAAAAGCCTTCTAGTTGGGGGGTAGAAGCTATGATATCCGTGTCATTCTTTCATTAGCTAGTTGGCACTATTATTAGGCTGAAGAAAAGCAAGCTATTTTTTCAGCTGTTTCTGAGAGAACAAGCTGCAGGCTGGAATTGATTATATAACTCGCACTGAGGCAAAGAGGAGGTAGACAGGTAGGTAAGAAGTGCCACCTAGGAAGAAAAGAATTACTCAGGGTGCACTGAGAACAGAGAACACTTCACTTCAGAGCCAGTGAAGGGAGCAACAAGCCAGCTCCTGAAAATACTGAGTGGGTTCCCACAGCTAAAAAGTAGTGGAAATGAGCAGATGGCAGTTGTTTAAATCTGTCAAGTAAAAGTAGAGATAGTTGAGTAACGGCTTATGCAGAGGGCTGGGGATACAACCACGTGACAGAATACTTACCTAGCACATGAGAGGCAGTGAGAAACAAATTACAAAGTGAAAGCTAGACAAAAATGAATTATCAACCAGGTTATTTTCCAGAATGTCTGGATATTTTCATTGTTAAAGGTGATCTGATGTTTCCCCGGGACATGTACATCCAAACTCCTATGCCACACACACATCTTCAAAATCATCTCGTAGTTATTATATATGGAATTATAATCTTCACGTTAATAGTCTTTGGAGTCCCAAAGGTCAGGGCAGTGCCCAGGAAACAGCACATGACCCTGGAGAGGCACCCAGAGGCTGCTGTTAGCATGCCAGGTAGTAACTCATCAGCCTCATCACTTGTATTACTTAACATTGTGTTTTGTTATTTTGTAATCTTAACCTATGTATATACAATGCAGTCTAACCTTTAAATAGGTACAGGATGCTTTCAGGGAAGCAAGCAATTCAGCATTAGAAGAAGAGTAAACTACATCCTGGTATTCAGAAATGGGATTCTCCATCTAGCCTCCACTCACCCAGGGCTGTGGTCCCCACTGGGATACACAGCCTGGGTGCACCCACCACTATGCATCTGTTGATGGAGAAGGCTTCTACTCTAATGATAAGGAGGCTAACCAGCTGTTTTATCTACTGGAGAATCTGTAGCAGCAAGAGAAAAGAACCAGTCATAAGAAAAAAAATTGCCCTTGGCGAATGTCCAAGCTTAACCTTGCATAGCTTTTCCGGGAAATACAGAACTACTCTTGTCTCTGATGCTGAGGTCACATGGCCTCTAAAGGAAAGAATGACTTGCTTGGTGTCATCATTTAAACTCCAACCTGACAGAGCAGATCTGGAGTTAGCCAATTAATGTGACATGGAACATTGAGCCCGGGTTACCAGGATATGTCCCATGCTGCTTTCAGTTCATGGGGAAGCCAGCAAGGCCCTGAAGGGGTTAAACAGACAAGACTGGGGAAACTGTGAGGTGCTGAGATACTGTGTTGGGGAAACAGAACCAAGTTCTAAGCAGGGCACTGGGCTACATTTAGCCAAGTTAATTAAAAGTATGCATCTGTAAAATGGTGCTTGTCTAAAATAGTAATGTCCTATTCAACAATTTTTATTTCATCTGAAAAATCCAGCAAAAAGTGGGACTAGAAAGAGCCAGGGCCTTCTGGGAGACAGCCCCTGAATTCGAAGGTCCAGCTCAGCAAAGCTCTGCTGTTTCAGAGGGAGCAGGCTCAGCTGTGTGTGTCCTATGGAACATTCAGTCTTATTCCTAGGTGGTAGGTAACAGCTACAAAATAGCTTTCATCTAAACAGTTCAAGCATCAGCCTCCTCTTTCTCAGCTTTGCACAATAGCACACTGCCATTTCTGTAACCACAGGCATTTATTTCAGGGTCCTGATGAAAAACATCAAACCAGTTTCATTTTCTAGAAAATTTCCTGGTTCAGGCTTCCCTCTTTCCTCTCAATCCCAACTGAATTTTCTCCATCAGTCTGGTGGGAAGGTTGGTAGAATCCTGGCACAGATCTATGACTTCCTTAGTGACTCAATCATAGTTCTTAAAAGTAAAGTGGATGCCACCACCTAGGTGTGAAGTTGCCAAGAAATCAGAGGGTTAGAAACAGGACTGAGGATTCCTCACTCATGACCTGGACATTTGCTCCCTATGATTTCGAACCCCACAGCCCAGCCACATTGGCCGACTCAATGAAAGACCCACATATAAGCCAGAATTTGTCCCAACCCCACAAGCCATTCTGTCTCCTGCTCTGGAAGACGTTAGCTTCTTGTGAAGTATAATGGAGAGAATATGTTGTTTGGGACCTGTAGTGAGGCCTGGAGCAGAAATCAGACTTGAAAACTCAGCAGTCTTCTGAGGCATGTGCTCCTAATTAGCGGCACACACCGATGCCCGCCAACTCTGGGATGAGGCCTAGACATCTGCATTCCTAATTAGCCATTACACACCAGCCCTCCACTGTGAGGCAGGCAGACATTAGCTTTGAGGAACACAGGAGGCAGTGACTGGGCATTAAACAGACTAGTTGGAAAACCTTGCGCACAGAAACACACCGGGCACACTACACTGCGGGGCAACTACTAAATGAAGGCATACACATCTGAACCTAGGTACTGCCAACCTGGGACCCACTTCAGTCTCTGAAAACTCAAGTGTCCACATAACCTTCATTCAAACGCAAGCCAATAGGAAAAAAAAAAAAAAAAAAAAAAAAAAATAAGAGTGACAATCCTGGAGTCCGGTGGATTTTTTAAGGTAAGCAATTGTTTTATTTCCCTGGCCCGACAGCATTGACTTCAAAGTATCAGAACCTGCAGCTGACAGAGCAGACATACAGACTGCTCCCAACAGGGAGGACGCCCTTCATTTGTAGAGATGAATTGAAATGTAATGGGTGAATGCACTTCCTGCTCCCACCAGCTCCCCACATAGCCCCTAAATGAAACTGAATGAGTAAAATCCCCGTAAAACGCCAGAGTCCTCACTCCATCTTCTCTGAAGAGCAGATGGCATGGAGGGAAACAGCTGGCCAATCACTTAGCATTCCAGTGTGCATGAGACTCAAGAGCCTACAGGGGGGCGGGGAGGAGGGGGAGAAGATAGGCGGCAGGTGTGTAATCTAGCTTACCTTGCAATCCGGACCCTCCGTATGTAGACACTCTGTCCCTGTTCATGAGAAGGCTGAAGGAAATGCTAGAGGACTCATTCCAAGGCTCATGAAATTCTAAGGTATTTAAGGGATGAGGAGCATCCCGTTTAATGCCATCTAAACTACTGGCGATCATAACCACACTCCCACACAACCCCATTTCTCAAGAGGACTCCATCTAAACATCTGTCCGAATGACCACTTCCACAACTGGGGCGATGCTGTGAGGCACCCGTGTGGAAGAAAAGGACCAGGAGAGGGAGGAATTGGAGACAGAGGTCAGGGGTCACAATGCTTCAATGACAGTGGGTATTTTTTGGTCCTTTAGGTATGGTCCCCTACAGCTCCTAAAGCATTTCCCCCTTTCCCTATGTGGCTTGTGCAAATGCCAAAAATCAAATATTCTTTTCTAGCGGCCACCTGCCCTCCTCCCAACCGTCTGATGAAATTGCACGAAAATTCACAACAAAGCTGCGAGTAATGCCGTCCTGATCCCGCTCTCACAGCCAATCCAACACAAGTTCTTCCTGGGCTGAGGAAGCAGAGAAAACTAACAACTGAGCTTGTGAAAAAAAGACGACAGTGTGTGCGGTGTGATGTTTTCCGATGTCTTCACCTTGCGTCTCCTCCATGGTTGGGAGCCCTCCCTCTGGTTCCCCAAGTCCCACGAGCACCCCACCCCTACCCCCAAGTCCAGGTGCTGCCATCTGCTGGGCTTCTGCCTCATTTCCCATAGACACTTTCATCACTGTAGGCCACATACAGAAAATAGTCTTCCTCGTGGTTGTCCTACAAGAGGAGACAAGAAGACAGTTCAGAAAATACTAACATTCATGTTCATTGTCTCTGTGATTCTGAGTCTTGAGCAACCTTTCATAGGAGACATGTAAGCTATCATTAGCCCCAGTTAAAAGAATGGAAGAAGCCTGGGGGGGGGGGGTAATAGTCCAGTGGTAGAACACTTGCCTAGAGTGTGTGAGGCCCTGGGTTCAAATTGTATACTGGGAAAAAGGGGAGGAGGAGCAAAGACTAAGAAGAGGTATCAACCACATGCTGAGCTCTGACTTCACAAATGCAAGTTTCATAGAGAACATACTGTATCAACAGCAGAAAAATAACTACAGTAAGTCTTACTCTTAAAAAAAAACACTGATTCTATGGTCAGCTTCAGTCACGGACATTTCCTTTTGTGGTGGTCAGTGGTTGCTACAGAGCCTAAAAACTGGCCAAAGTGTACAGGTGGAAGTCAAAAACATACAGTACAATGTGAATCACAGAACCTTCGGGAAAATTCTTTCACCCTTTTTGGCATGTTTTCAAAGCTTTCACAAACAAAATGTTGGGAAATAATTTTTATCTTGGGATTGGGGGATGAGTCAGTCAGTAAAGTACTTGCCTTGCAAGCCCAGAGGACTTGAGTCCAGTGCCCAGAACCCAGATAAAAATGGCATATGTATGTGGAGCTGTGAGCTTTTAATCCCAGCACTGCCAAGGTGGAAACAGGAGTATCCTGGGACTCACTGGCTAGCCAGGTCAGCCTACTGGTGTTCTCTAAGCCAATGAGAGACCCTGTCTCAAGGGAGGCACAGAGTATTCTTAAGGATGACACCCTACGTTGTCCTCCAACTTCCACCTCTGTGTGTGTGTGTGTGTGTGTGTGTGTGTGTGTGTGTGTGTGCCACACACACACACTCATTAAAAACAAAACAAAACAAAAAAAGGCAAGACCCTTCATTCCAGCATCACTCTAGCAAGGAGAGCATAGGTATCACAAAATACATACCCGCGTGCATACTCACGGGAATAAATGCTGGGGAATAAGGGCTAGACCAGGGGCTACTAGATGAGCACATTACTCTTATTACTAACTAAAGGGGTGCATGGGAAGGCAGCATCCTGTGTGACAGTGTTCAAGGAGACTACACTTGCAATCTTAGATCACATCATTTATATATGAAGTCCTAATTACAGTTTCTTAGCAACCAAATTCTACCTTAACTTTACAATCAGACTCATTCACTGTCCTCAGATAATGGGAACTCTTCATGGTCTTAGGCTTGTTCTAGAGAGAAGAGCATCTGGATGTGGTTGTCATAAGCCAAATCCACAGAGTTTAAGTGGGAACTAACTGATGCCAGGGCTCCAGGTTTAGACTAAACATGGGTAAGCGGGGCTGGTGTTTCCTTTCTCAAGTCTACTGCTAGATGGGGATGGCTGAGAAGCAGGTGGGGTACCCAGTTCACTAACAAATTATGCTTCCAGAGGAATTAATAGAGCAATGGGATCCCAGTGATCCTTTGCTACCAAGAACTACTCAAGCCAGCAATAAAGCACTATAGTCAGACAAGAATGAAAGATTTCATAGGACTAAAGCGAGACGATGCTCCATTCTGAAAGGAAAGGACACGGGGTATCCAATCTCCCAGCTTCACACTGCCATGGGTAAGAGGATCCCCATAAAGAACACCTCCTGCCCTACTTCCCAGGTGTGTTAGCAAACCCTGGAACCGGAGCCAGGGGATGGCAGCCTGCTGGGTATTGTGACCAAAACCATTACCTCATACAGCTGGCCCATGGTAGCACTCGTGGGAGGGATAGTGTTGTTGACAAAGAAGAATAAGGCGTCCTCAGGTCTCAGGTGGATCCTCTTCCGGATTAAGAAGTAGAATTGGCCAACTACAAGAAGGGAACAGAGAGCAAGGCAAGAAAAGAAAAAGGATTAGTAAAAGAGGAAATCTCAGGAAAACCGAAACTATTGTTTCTAACCCGTTTAGGCTAAGTACAAGCTTTTCAGACCCAAATACTGTCCAAGAGTTTTAGGGGCAAAATAGAAACTGAGGCCTGTACAGTCCCTGACATACCACAGTGAGACTGCTTCCCTCCCTCCTAATTAGCACTTCCACCCACCTAAGGATCAAAGTATCCCTAGCATCCCCATCTAAAATAGAGCTCTTGCCTTTTCAGCTCCATGCTACCCTGAGAGCTAACACTGTGAAGAGATCCACTGAATTCTATCTGGACAAGCCAGCATCGTGGGGCAAGTGTCTGGGCAATGAGCATAGTCAGTGTTTTAGCCTCTCCCTGCAAACAATGAAAAGCTTCTGGAAGGCTGACAGACAAATGCATCAACCCCAGAGCAAACGTATCTAAAAGAACCCATCAAGAGCATCCAGAAAGCACCTGGCAGTTCAGTAAGAGCAAACACACACACCTGAAATCAGAAGATATGCTGGGGTCTGCAGTTTCATTCCCCAAACAGAAACATGATTGAGAGATAAGGCATTCAGATATGAATCTGAAACGTGATCCTCCGAAGACACTGCACTGGCTTTGGAACAATTCGACCTCAGCATCACCGTGGCTGGGTTTGAATGTGGTGTAAATTACAGACAATTGCCCCTTTGCCCCAGAGCGCTGTTTTGTTGTGCCTCCATGAATTAGGCACATGAGTAAGGTATTGGGAAATACCACACAGAACTGGGAATAGAAAGACAGAGTGTGCCTAGCCACACTGACCAGCTCCCTAAAGAAGCCATGAGTAGTTACAACCCATTTGGTCACCAACTTAGACTTGAAATAAAGATGGAAACTGCTTCGCCTGGAATGAACGGTCAGAAGAGGGAAAGACCATTACCAGTGAGGTCAGAGGGGACAAGGTACTTCCTCTTGTCCAGATCGGGGACCCTGGCTTTAGGAGCCTTCTCCACGATGACCTAGAAGGAGAACAGGAGAGGGGATGAAACTATAGAGCCCACTATTGTCTTCTTCCTTCCACACCTTAAGTTTGCCCACACTATCTAGGCTCCATGTAATTTTTCAGTCCTCCCTTGCTTCCAATGCTCCTTGATCTTACACAAATACAAATTACCCTATAAAGAACAGTAAGAGCCATTTACCTTATGGTATTTTACTAAAGAATCCATGTATGGACTGGGGAGATGGTGCAGCGGTAAATGTGGAAGTGTGATGACTGAGTTCAGATCCCTAAAATCTGAGCAAATGCCGGGTGGGCCCACAGCTAATCCCAGTGCTGGGAAGGCAGAGAATGGAAACCCCTGGGCCAAGCTGTCTGGCTGAACTAACTCAAGTGGCACGTTCTGCGTTCATAGCGGTAATGTGAACAGCAACCAAGACTTGTACCAGACACAGACCTCTGGCCTCCGCCACATGCATGCTTATCTGCACACAATCACACAGAAGGCTCCTCACATGTGCACACCCTTACGCACACATGTACACAGAGGGGGAAACAGCATTTATTACAGACGTGACATTGCAGCTCAGATCTTCAATGCCGCTAAAGGCCCCTAGGGTAAACAAAGAAGTGTTCCTACCTCAGTGCCATTAACACGTGGTAGGAACTTGAAGGGGTGGGACCTCATGGGAGTTTTAGTTTATTGAACCCTCTGTGCATCCACCATGACCGACTGACTCACCACTGGCCCAAAGAATGGTTGACAATATCACAGATTGCTACAGTGACAGCTATTATATACAGGCAATGTGGCTCAGATTTTAATCTTTGCAAAAAAAAAAAAAAATGTGTTCATCAGTAAGTGAAAACTGCATTTTTTTTTTTTTTTTTTTTAAAATAATGACACTTGCTGGGGACAATGCACTGAATCATTTAGCATTGTTGACTACGTTAGGATTTTAAGGGACTTTCAGTATCTACAGTAAGTATTTTTAATGACATTTTTAAAGATTCAGTTTTGTAATGAAGAAAAAGACTCGTAATCTTAGAATTTTTTTTGTTTGTTTTTAGAGACATGGTTTCTCTGTCTAACAGTCCTGGCTGTCCTAGAACTCACTCTGTAGACCAGGCTGGCCTCAAATGCCCTGAGATTTGCTTATCTCTGCCTCCCAGATGCTGGGATTAAAGGTGTATGCCACCATATTTATATATTTACTTAGAAAATAGAAAATATATTGCAAGAATATTAACATTAGATTATTGTTTTGAAGAACTCATCTTAGATATGGGAAATGGGAAATACCAAGAAAGCGAAGAAGCAGAAACAGACACTGGACAAGTATCCCTAGAAGCTGTGTGACCTTCAGGATGTCTGTGACCTCTCTGGGCTTATGAAAAAGCAGTACCCCCAAAAGACCATACAAATCAGTAGCACAAGCTGTACCCCCCAAAAAGACCACACGAATGAGTACACGTAAATGCCTGGGTAGACAGAGGTGAATCCAAAACTTCAAAGTAAGTGGAAAGGAGTTTGAAAATGAGATTAGTAATAGGCCAAAGAACAGGGAAGGAGAGAAGGCAGACTATCTACAGCAGAGCCCTGGTATTTACCACAGGGACTCTGAGACCTGACAGCTCCCTCCAAGAAGAGAGAAAACTGTTGTCTCCTTCTGTGGCAGGTGGCTTGCGCACCATAGAACTGTTTACAAATGTTTAAAAATAGTGTGTCGGGCAGTTCCTGCTGTTACAGGTTTCCAACACTGTTATTTCAAGATCCCATGATCCCCTCTCCCAAGGCCTACGCATACCTCTTTTGAGGCCAAGCTTAAGGTGTGAGTCAGACTGCCTTAGACGCTCGGTGGCTTTTCTACAAACACCTGGGCAGAGTAAGATTCAGTTCTGTGCCCAAGGTACAGGAACTCTGGCTACAAGACTGAAACAAAAGCACATCTCTGAGAATAAGGCTGAACCCAGTGACAGAGGGGCCGCCTGGCAGAGCGCTCCCTCCCCGGTACTGCCCCCAAATCTCTGCCATGTAGCAGAGCTCCTCTGTCACAAACAGGATGAGACTCATCCGCCGAGAATCTCTCAGGTTGAGGATCCATGAGAACCAATGGACCTTTCTTAGCTTATAAAACACTCAACATCAAGTCATGAGCACGAGAAGAATAAGGAGAAACTAAAATATTCCGGGCGAGTGTAGTAACCACGTGAATGAGAAAGGCCCCTGGTCTGAGGAAATACAGGGGTTTTAACTGAAACTGAAGACGGGTGCACACCACAGCTTGTGTGTCTGCTAAAGTACACATTCGCTTAAGTTTCCTGGCTGGCACTAGCCTGTCAGCTGAACCGCAGATGGTAGCAAGACTTAACCTACTTTCAGAGCTCAACCATGTAATGTGTGTCAGGTGTACAACTTAATTCTGGTTAATCGAACTGTACTACACACTGGGAAAAGGGACAACCTGAAGGCCAAGGGCTCTGGAAACCCCGATGCACGGCAGCCAGCCTGAAATCCCTCTCTGCCAGGCAGCAATGCCAGACTTCACTTTCCTGTACCTCAGGCTTAAGTCTGTAGCACATGGATTTTAATGGTGTGAGTAGAGTCAGTGAATATGGAGACAAGGTATTCAGAGGGCTGCCAGCTGTGCGGTCCATGTGTCACTCCAAAATGTTAAGGGGGTGACAAATCGAACGAATCTGGAAAGCAATCCTCCATGAAAATAACATGTGAATGACTGCGTGACAAGAAGACATGACTAGCATATTTCCAGCCTTTCCCTCAAGACCCTATGGGCTGTGTGATCCCTGGAGAACAGTAGAATAGGTAACTCTCCCCCTCCTAACAGGAAATGGGGATGAGGGCTTTTCCCAGTGGGGCCTACATTTCCTCTGCTAGCCATGGCTGCAAGAGGGGACTGAAGAAGAACCCCCCCCTTCCCCCAAATGTGCTTATGCATCAAGAAAAATTATTAGGTAAGCCTAGCTCTCATACCCTTTTAAAGCTGAGTAATGCTAATCTAGCATCATGCCTGTACAGATAAAGAGAACGACTTTTAAAAGCTCCTCTAGCCACCATATCTAACAGTAACGTCGTCCTCGGCTTCCAATTCTGCTGCGCAGCCTTTAAAAGAGGAGAAAAAACAGGCAAGTGGGCGGGGGGGGGGGTGTAAAGGGAAAAACACCCGGATGCTGAAGACTCCCTTAGTATTTTTCTCCTCACTGCATCAATTGGGTTTTAGCTCTTTAAATCGGGGTATAATTCGTGGAGGAAATGGTTCTCAGGCCTGGCTCTTGGGGTCCAAGGGCCCAACACATCAGCAGTGCAGGGCAAGGCCCTCTTTAGCACCGCATGGCCGTGGAGACAGTAATGATGATGAAGCAAGTGTGGCGCAGAGAGTGTGACCTTGTTTGCGGGGCCGCCTGATGGGGCTCCTCCGCCTCTTAATTCTAAGAAAACGCAAGGCAGAATCTACCGACTTCTCAAGTTTTTTCTCAAGGAAAATGAGGACGAAACTCGGGTCCATGGAGAACCACCTAAGGCAGACATGGATGGGCACAAGGCTCACCGCACCTGCCACTCCAGGGTTGCGCTGAGTTCTCTATAAACGCATCCGATCTGGTGCCCCCAACCAGTGGCTGCCACACACACAGGCCGCGCCAAGCGCACAGTTCCCACCTCCACGAGAGCTGAATCCTGCTGAGTCACCCCCACGCAGGTTGCGCTTTCGAGATGCCAAAGATGGACACAGGTCCTGGGGATACGGGTTTGCCAAAACCAGTCAGGCTTATGTGATGGGGGGGGGGGGCTGCTCCAGGGCACTCGCCAGTATCAGGCAACCCCGCCCTGCTCCAGGCCACCCGCCAGTGGCAGACTACCCTCCAGCTCCAGGGCAACCAGCTCCAGAATTTCCCAGCTCTCTCTCCCCCTCCCCGCCCCCACTCACCGGCACCCGGTCCGGGTATTTCTTCCTAATCTTTTCACCTTCCTTTTTCCGATATTCGAAGGGATGGTCCTCTTTATACTGGAACTTCATGATGGACCGCAGGCTTGGGGGCTCCCCTGACGGGGCCTGCTGCGCGCGTTGGTGACTGCGCCTTGTGTCTGGCCACCCCGGTCAATGTCAACCTTATCACAATCGCTCCACCGGCGTCAGCTCCCACGCGCCCGTCGCCGCACTACGTGGCCAAACGTTCAGAGAAGGACCTGGAGATCTCCGGGCCCGAAGGTAAAGGACCACCAGGTAAAGAAACCGGGTGGCTTTTCCCAAGAACTGGGAACACAAAAACACCAGGGCGGTGTTGTGACATCACGAAGCTCCGCCCCACCCCGCCCCCGGCGCGAAGGATCTGCTAGACCGGGGGGGTGGACAGAAACATTGATTATTCGTGTGTGTGCCCTTTACGCTTAAGCTTTCCTAAATCACTCTAACGAAAATCAAAATTATTTTTCTGTCTTTTATTGTTGTGATTCGGCATTAAAGATACCTTTTAACCCAGTGAATGCTCTAATAAATGTCTACTTCACTCCCCTTCATGCTTCTTGCTTGGAGCCCAAAACAAACACACAGGAAGACAATCCAGCTGTTTCCAGAGCAATGGCATCAGGAGTCTGGTAGAGGAAAAGCGCCAGGCATCACGAGATCTGTAGCCCACGCAGAAATGTCCTGTGCTTGCATTTTGACCTTTGCCTGGCACCCGTGGCTGGCCTGGCTTCTCCAGCTCAGCTCCTCCTCCCCAGTCTGGCGTCCTTTCGTTTGGATCTGTGCTGGAGTTGGTACTGAGACAACATAAGCAGAGCGTGACTCAGGGATTTGCCGAAGTGTAATGGTGAAAAAAGCATGAAGTCATCGAGGTTAGAAGAAGAGATGCCAGCGATGAACACCGGGCTTTACACACGTTTGGAAGGGATATGATTCCATTCACTTTATCTTGTTCACCCAGAAGTGTGGTCCTGGGTTCTTGAAAATACAGAGATCAAGCAGTTTAGGTAACAATAGTCATCCCAACAAGCAGTTTAGGTGATGATGGCTCTTCCAACAGTACTTTCCTGATATCACCTGCAGGACCTCCCGGGATGGAAAGGCCTCATTGGAACCAAAAGCTCTAGCTGGCCACTAGCATAGTGGTAGACCCTAAGCTACACAGCGAGGGTCAGATGGCCCAGGTCCCTCTGGCATAACCGGGTTTCCCATAGTAATCTTTGGATGCTGGGTCAGCATACTGATGCTACCGGCAATGACTCTCCAGACCTGTATTTGGGGAGCATTAGAAATGGTAAAGATAGAGATCGAGGATGCTTTGTGCCATGCAAATAGAATGACTTCTAAATGGCACCACCTAAGCAGCAGTTGTCGCTGGCTTTTTTTTTTTTTTTTTTTTTTTTTTTTTCCCCTTTCAAATTACTCTCAGTGGTTTGGCCTTAAAAAGTCCAGAAAATAAAACAAGCTAAGTTTAAATACTGAAACAAGAAAATGAAATGCTTAGCCAACTTCTTGTTTTTCTCCTAGGAATCTTTGAATTGCCCCCACACTTAAAGACCAGTGAATTAATGCATCACATTGTTATATAAATAATTTTCAGGCTTTATTTTCAAACTGAAACTAATTTAATGCCCAGTTAATCATTTTACCTTTGACTCAAATACAATTAAATCTTTCAGAAGAAAACTACAACTAGGTGAGATGAACCTGGGGATTAAAATAGGCATACCGTTGTTTTCTGAGTGACCTTCAGTTCTTTTATAGATATACAGTCACAATTAATTGAAGGGCAGTTGGTTCTTTAGTCCAGTGGCAGTGTGTGCAATATCATGAGAAATAAAAGATGCAACGTCTGTTAACCATTGATGAGGGTTTTCTAAGTGCTAGTAGTTTACATAAGAATACAAAATGTACAGGGAGCTGGAGAGGTGGCTCAGTGGTTAAGAGAGCACTGGCTGCTCTACCGGAGGACCACATTTTAAATTCCAGCAAAGGCAAGACAACACAGGACTGTCTGTAGCTCCACTTCTGGATGGTCTGGTGACCTCGTCTGGCTTCTGCTGTGCACTGCATGTTCTTGGTGCACATACATACATGCAGGCAGAGCGCCCACACAAATAAAACAAGAATCACTTAAAACGTATCTGCTTCTACAATTTTACTATTTATTCTAAGAAGGTTTTACTATTTATTCTAAGAAAGTTCTTTAAAATGTACAAAGGTACATGTATACATTTTACATTCAAAAGGATAACAATAGTTTAAAATTCCTTTCTTCAACCAAACAAAATGCAATGGTAAAAAGATATATTTTCTCATGGAACCACTCTAAAGGCTCCTTGTACTGTTATGTTTATGAGTTCAAAACTTTTGATTTTGTTTTTTTATGGGTATTCAGTCATGTAGAGAATTTCAGACCAGTACAAGCAATACCATCATGCCCACTGCTTCATTTGAGAGTAAACTGCATTTCACCTCGGAATGTGAACACATCAATCATCACACTACATCTTAAAAATTACCAGTACCTCCACAATCAGCTAGTCCTGCACGGAGTTCATACCCAGAGTTTTATGTCTGTCACCGAACGCATTTCATAATTTTCCCCAGTCAGGTGTTAGAACTTGAAACTGAATACAAAGTTAAGGTTTATTTCTTCTATTTATGATAATTTCTATCTATGAATGAAAAAACAGAATTAGGGTACTGATCTGCCAATCATCAAAAATGTATCAATACATTTGCCTGGGCACCCGTAACAGTGGCCACGCCTTTTAAGGACAAGCTCATCAAGGAAATGAGGACTTTTAAGAAGTTTTGCTTTTTTAAGTTTTAAGTAAATGGTTACCTACAAAACAAATGCTAAAGATTGTTACGAGTAGTTTTCCTGACAGCCTGGTCCCACAGCCGTGCCAGCTCCAAATAACACACAGAGACATTGTAAACTGTTTGCCTGTTACTAGCGTTTCTTATTGGCTAGCTCTGTCTTAAATATTAACCCATTTCTGTTAATCTAAGTATTTCCACGCGGTCTTATTTTACTGGAGAGAAGGTCCAGAGTTTTTCTCTCACAGTCCTACATGTTGAATCTCCCTGAATCTTCCTTGTCTCCTAGTCCCACCTATCTTGCTCTCCTATTGGCCAACAGGCTTTATTCATTAACCAATAAGAGAACATATTTACAGAATGACATCTCCCATCAGAAGATCATCTGGCTGAGACTTGCTGACTCCCATGCCAGGAACTTTCCTTGCCCCTAGTGTCTCCTTCCTACACGCGGTGAGCACTCTGCTCTTTCATTCATGTGTTTATCACCATGATGTGGTGGCTTCATTGTTTTATACTTGGTTCTGCTTAAATTCAGGACAGTTATCTCAGTGTGTGTGTGTGTGTGTGTGTGTGTGTTAAAAACTCAGGGACGTGCTTTAAAGCCACTGTTATCAGCCACACTCGTTCCTAATAACATCCAATCTTGTTTTCGTCACTTGTGGGTGGTGCAAAGACAGACACGGATGCCAAAATAAATGTATTAAAGCGGTTTTCACTGTGTCATGCCTCTGCCTTATCCAGCTATCAGCCTGGAGTCTTTTGAAGAAAGTCTAGTTCCTTAGAAAATAAATTTAATTTTATGCTCTTCCATAGACACACTTTACATTTTGCTCCAAGATTGTCATCACAGTTTGGATGCAACATATCCTCATAGGCTGGTGTGTGCTGACTTCACATTGGGGATACTGTCTTGGAAGGCTGAAGGACATCCTGAAATTTAGGAGGTGGGGCCCAAAGAAAGGATGAGAGGTCTCTATTATGAGGCTGTTGCCCTCATGACTTGATCTCCCAAAGGCCTCAGCTCTCCATACCACCATCTTGGTGAATTGCAGGAATGGGGTGGGGCAGATTAATCAGTTTGGAGGGGCTATACCAAATAGCCAATGTTATTTTAGTCTGGGGTAAACTCTAGACACTGGATAAAGGAGACAAACATGAACTCAGATAAGGCAGAAAGATAGTGTGAGAGAGTCCTAAGGGCCTTCAAGGTCCAGGTTTCAGGTAGCACCCCTCGTGGAAAATGTCCTTTACAGGCTTAGACAACCTCTGGCTATAGAAAAGCCTCAGTCAGAGCTGACTGATACTTAAACCAACATTCTCTTCTGTTAAAGGCTTGGACACCCCAAGAGGCTGCACCTCTCTGCCTTGATTGCCTCAGAGCTACCAGAGACCCCACTGGAAATAAGAACACACTGGAAACAGTCTGGCAGAAATGAAGAGATATTTGTCTCTCTAGCTATCAGATTATAAAAAAAAGATGGACCCCCAAAATGGACATTTCCCCAGCAATCTCAGGCTGGGAGAAAGAAATGCCACCGGCCGGAAAGGGAATTCATAGGGCGGACATGTTCAACAAGTCTCCTTTCTCTGCTTTCCACTTTGGTTTGGCTTTTTTTCTTGGCCATTGAGGGTGGGTGGCCAGACCAGAATTGGGTCAAAGGTTGTGACCCCCAAGATTGATAAATGGCATCCATGAAGGAACGGAACACACTTTGAGGGGGCCTGTCACAATTTGCTGGCCCTGGGAAGAGAGAAAAGATAGAGTCATTTCCTCCAGAACCATTTCCTTTTCCCATTCAGCATGGACCACTTTTAATTTCCATTTGGTTAAACTGAAAAGCCACTTGGGACTGCGTTTAAGATGTTCAAGAAAATCTGACCCTTGGTGGTCACTTCTTGATCGGTGCACTTCAGACTCTGCCTCCCTGCTTTCCTCTGGACTCTTCTGAGCAATTTGGTATTCTTTTGAACCATTTGGGGAGTTTCCATCTGGTGATTGGCTTTATTTTTGGGTGCTCTTCTGTTGAAAACCACTGGGGTAAAGTAAAACAGAAATGCAGCCTCCCTGCTTCCATGGAAAAGGACAGGGATTCTCCTGAGGCAGTGTCTATGAGCTGCTCTCCAACATCAAGATACCAGGATCTCACTTCCTGCTCACCACCCTTTCCTTACCTCTTGTCTAGGAGTCAGAGAGTTTGGCTCTGGGTTGATGCTAGGAAACCTCTCTGACCCCCAAAAGCCGCAGTACCAACTGATACGTTGCGTAAGAAGAGACTCAGAAAGAGCAGAGAAAATGAGAGTCCAGAATTCATCTAAATCTTACTGTGCCTTTGAAATCTAAGGGAAATTATTTTATTACTAGATTTTCACACCAAGCCAGACTACCCTTTAAGTGTGGAGAGGGGTCAGAACACTGGTGACGTGGAAGCCATCCAAGCATTTCTTTCTCCTATACACATTTTCAGGAAATGGTCTCAGTGTACAGAAACCAGC